AGCTCAAATACGCGAAAGAGCAAATGCTATTCTATTTGATCACCTTTTTGTTGAAGCATTTACTCATAGCAGCATTATGCAGGGGATTGGAGTTAGCACGTTTGATCCAAAGAAAAAGTTGTATCCTCTTACGGCGGGAGTGGATATGGCCAAGAGCTCTGACACTCGAGACAGTTCAAGGTACTAATTAGGTTGTTACTAGACATTTTTTTCTTGTAATACTAGCCTTGCATATAATATGACACTGTCACAGGTACTGTGGTGAAGGATCAATGGACCCGAGAAAGGTAAAGGGAAAGCTTGTTTATTGCCAGTTGGGTACTTGGGGTGCTGATTCTGTTATAAAAGAACTTGGAGGGATCGGCACTATCATTGAAAGCGATCAGTTTCTTGATTCCGCCCCAATTTTCATGGCTCCTGCAACAATAGTTAATTCCAGCATAGGGAAAAGCATTAATAACTATATGCATTCAGAGAGGTAAAAATGTTATAACCTGTTTAGTCCATTTCAGAACAGAAATTACTGATTTTTATACTCCACTTAGCTGTGTGATGGTTTTGAAAATTGCAGATTACCTTCAGCAGTAATATATAAATCACAGGAAGTTAAGATCAAAGCTCCATTCATTGCATCATTTTCATCAAGAGGTCCAAATCCGGGAACAAAATGCCTTCTGAAGGTAAATTTAGATGGAAATCAGAGTTCATTGTTAGTGTTAATTTCCAAAATAGCTTTCTGATGCAAGCATCGTACAGCCTGATATTGCAGCACCGGGAATTGACATTCTGGCTTCTTACACCCCCCTGAAATCACTCACTGGTTTGAAAGGCGACACTCAATATTCAGAATTCACCCTCATGTCTGGCACTTCCATGGCATGCCCTCATGTTGGCGGCGCAGCTGCTTATGTAAAGTCATACCATCCATATTGGTCTCCTTCTGCTATTAAGTCTGCCCTCATGACTACTGGTAAATCAACAAAATCTTGTTTTCCACTTTCATTTGGTCTAGAAACTCAATACCCCTAGAGCAAATAGATTTTGTAGCAAATATATTAGTCCACGTGAGCACTACATAATCTAAATCTGTACAACAACGACAACAACAACAAATTCACTTCGATTCCAAGCAAGTTGGATTCAGACTGTAATTTTTGAAATTTTATCTTTTTCCTTAAAAACTTGAAGCAAGACCTATGAGCTCAAAGGTGGACAGGGAAGCAGAGTTCGCGTATGGTGCTGGACAAGTTAATCCGACGAAAGCAAGAAGCCCTGGATTAATTTATGATATGGATGATATGTCATATATCCAATTCTTATGCCATGAAGGTTACAATTCATCATCAGTATCCAGTTTACTTCGACAACGGGTAAATTGCTCCATGTTGATTCCTGCAAACGGGGAAGATGCTATCAACTATCCCACAATGCAGCTTGGCCTAAAGAGTAATCAAGAACCAACCATTGGCATTTTCAGGAGGAAAGTTACCAATGTTGGACAAGCTATATCTGTTTATAATGCCACTATCAGAGCTCCTAAGGGAGTTGATATCACAGTAAAACCAACGACTCTCTCATTCACGCGTGCAATGCAGACAAGAAGTTTCAAGGTTGTTGTGAAGGCAAAACCAATGTCAAATGCTGTAATATTGTCAGGTTCACTCATTTGGAAGAGCTCTCGCCATCTTGTAAGAAGTCCTATTGTCATATATGATCCAAAGGTTTTTGATTAAGTTGTAATGCTATAGTTTGCAAGGAAAATGATACAGAAGAATGCAAAAAAAAATAAATCAAGAAACAGAGATGATTGATGAATTAATTTCTGAAAAGGTGGGGGCAGGGTAAGTGCACAAGAATGATTTTGAAGAGCAGTAGATGCAACATCTGTGAATAAAAATCTACATGTATATTCATTTCACATAATTACTTTTGTTTTCATTTTTGCAAACAAGTCCGAATTAGTTGAATACTTGTGTCAGAAAATTCTTGGATTGATGTGCCATTTCCATAGAGGAGATAATTGACAATACGAAGTTCATTGATCATTTCCTGCCGTAGATACGACAGTTGCAAGCATTATCTAGAATGATTGCGCGTAATTATTTTACTATCAAATTTGAACCAATGACTTAAATAGGTCATTATCATCCCAAAAATAACCAAATGAATGATTTATCAACCCTTGTTTACATATAAAAGCCATCCAACAAATCTCTATAAAATCATTTTCTACGCGAATGTATAGCCGATGCTAGACTTGAAAAGCTAGTCTAATTATAGAAATCCAATGTGTACTTATACATGTTGAATGATATAAAGATTTATATATATAGTCGACTTCACGGACATATTGAGAATTAGTTTATTGATTATCCAACTAATTAAATCAATTACGCCCTTATACTCAACTTTTCACATACCCCTCTTCCCAACAGTCTCCACCAAAATAAATTGACAGACTAAAAAAAAGGATGAAAAAGCAACTGCACAGCCAACACGAGTCAGACAGAGAAATGATAGGCCACCACAACCAATAGTGATTTCTTGAACACTTCCAATTCTATACTTTTCTTTGTTCAGCACATCTTTGAGTGCAACAAAGCTTTGTGTGGCTTCTTTTCAGCATAAAAGAAATGGCATATCGCTAAGTGGACAGAACAGAAGATTCCAATGATTGTCGCCATATGCGCAGCACTAACCAAACCCACTATTGTGTCTAGTGTTAGGTATTATCTATAGCTATATCACAGTAGAGTATAGCTCATATACATCCATACACTCTCAGATCACCTAAAACATATATACTTACAAGTAACGATATATGATAAATAATTACAAGATATATAAAATATGCATCTATTACAAGTTACGACAAGTAAAATCACGCTTATCATAATGTAAAAAATTGTTACACTAGTGTATATAAGTTAATTAATCATTCACGGTATATGTTCCATATATATCATGAGCTATAATTTTGGTCCCGAGAAAAGGCCGAAATGGTGTCATGCTTTACCACCCGTGTAGTGCAAGAAAAGTGCCAAAGATAGCATGCAAATGATGAAAACAAAAGAAGGGGTTAGGTTTAGGGGCACAAACAAAATTATGGTCCAAAAATCAAGAGCCTTCTTTATTTTGGCAGCACTCAAATTTTCCAACTATAGAGTAACCGAACAAGCATGCGTTAATTTTGTACTTTATCCTTCTAGCTTTTTTCGGCGCCAAAGGCCAATCATACCAAGCCATGGGAGTTTATTTATTAGCATAAGGCATTAATTAGAATAATCAACATGGTTATAAGCAACTAATTTCTATCTTTGTTTTATGGTATATATCTCCTAATCACAGCTAGTAAGTGTTAGGAGGCTAAAACCTCTAATTATCTAAGAACAGCAGTCCTAACGTGTTCACAAGATCTCTACACTAAGAGTCCTTGAAAACTTTAAGTATATGATTGTTAGTGTGTGCGAGAGAGAGAGAGTTCTAAACTTATAATTTGCTTTTGTGACTCTCTTCACATAAAACTCATGGTAGAAAGTTTCACTAAACATCCATTCAATCATTTATATAGAGTAACTACAACTTTATATTAAGGTTAATTGTTGGGAATATATCTTAATTAGTAGCTCAGTTGATTGGTTATCTAAATTTTCACTTGGTGAGAGTTTGTTTTTCTACCTTGTAATTTCCTTTCCTATCTCCTCTTCCAAAAATTAATAATAAAATAATAATATTGACGTTAATCGCGGTTGGTATTGCACAAATCCGTTTATCAGCGCGAAAGTGCGTATATAAAATATCAAGTAGATCTTGAAATTTATATACGCGATCGAATCATATATATATTTGTCGAAACAATATTTTCAAGCATGCATGAATTACAATTAAAGCATCACAATAATTTTTTAGCAAAACCAAAGAGGCAACACGGTTTGTTGCTTGCTGTCCAAATAATTGAAATCTTGAAAGTACCATTCAACACAAAAGTAATAAAATACAATTTAAGCAACAAAGGTCAACTATGATTATACAGATTTTCAGCCTGATAATTGGTACAAGTAAGAATGCAAGGTATTGGAGCTGACCAAAACCTAAAACCTGCCGAGCAACATTAAATGTTTTTGCCACCCCCATGATTATTCTCACATTTTGGTTGGTTACAAACACAAGGAAAAACAAAGAAAAAAGAAGCCACACCTCTAAGTCAAACACATACAGTTACGAAACAGCAATTAGATTGCCACATTTATGAGGGCCGTCACCGAATGTTTTCTGGCATCAAATCATAAAGACAAAAGATTAACCCATGTTAAAAAATATTACTACATCTGATCTTAAATATATTATAGTCATTTTATAGAATTGAATTTGTTTCAAGGTAGCTAACGTTTTTTCTTAACCTCAGGAAAATCCGCAGCCACTACAGCCTCTGCTCTTCGGGTGAGCACTCTGTGCACACTGGGTAAAACCCCCACTGTGTAATAACCTGCAAATCACACATGGGATGTAAACCGCGCTGGCAAGCCCTGTACGACATGCTCAGGCCCAGAAGGCATTGAGGGTGGATCAATCCCAGGTCATCGTAGATAACCCCCTCCAAACCAACTGGGTCATCCCCGAAGGGATAGGTAGCTAACGTTTTACATAAAGAAAAAGTCATTCAAATTAGTGGAGTGTTAATAAAATGAGACGTTTATGAGATAGATGAATGATAATCTAGACAAACACTGTTATGATTAAAACTCTATTAAATGTCTTTTTAAAAAATAATGCAAAAAAAAAAAAAAAAAGAATCTTAAAAGATAATTATACGAACAAAGATGAAGTAACATCTTTTTAGGTGGGGTCTAATTAATTATGTTTGAATCGCCATTTTTAAGTGACCCAATTAATAAGAAATACAACATCTTTGAACAATGATTGCACGAAAGGTCCAAATTCCAAAACAATCTCCATTGCATTATATAGCACTATAGCAAGTTCCTAAAAGCCAGCATTACTCCATCTCTCTTTGTTTTCAATTGTTTAATCAGATTTTCATCTTTTTTTTTTTTTAATAAAAATATACTGTCCTTCTTTTATATAGGAGGCGTGCATTCTTGAAAAAAAAGGGAATTAGTTAAAAGTGGGAATGGGAAGATTGCTTTTCTTTTTTTCCCTTTTGTTGCTAGCACAATGAAGTGACATAAGTTGTCAATGTTATCACACTCTTTCCCTTGGCCTATTTAAAATTTCCATCAACCTTCAGCTATTCCACAGTATTCCTTCAATTATCCTGAATCCTAAAACAAAGGTATGTCTTCTCCTTGTATTCTTTCTTCCTCTCTGTGCATTTTGACAACACCATGCACAAACTAAGGTGGATTATGAAGCATCTACCAACCTCATGCATATATTTAAGGACTAGTTCAATTTTGGTTCTGTAAGTCATGGCCTAAAATATACTATGTTCTATGCATGTTAGCATTATAGCAATCCAACATATATACACAACTCGTGGCAGATTCAGAATTTAAAATTAGTAGGTTCTGCTATTTATATATGCCTATTTTTATATTTCCGTACATATATAAGGTTTAGACACAGTGGATTTAACCGAACTTGTTCTGTCTAGTGGCAGAGTAGAATGAAATGAGCTGACTTGTTCAATCCACCCTTATTTCACCTGTTGCGGCGCGCAAACCGATCCCACCATATCAATATGAATCCTCCCTTATTTCACTATATATATCAATCCACCCTTGTTCCACCTGTTGCGTATAGGTCAGATACTATTTTTATAGGTCTCATCAGTTGACACCCTTTCGCCGAAAAATTATATATATTGTGTATATAGGTCAGATATTATTTTTATACATATATACAATATTACATTTTGAACACTTTTAGCGAAATTCTTGACTTCACCAGTATTGGTTGTGAACTTGTGTGTAATCTTGATTCGCCACTGACACAACTTAGGTAGACCTTTGTAAAGATGCCCTGTGTTTAAGGGCTGTCAAGAACCTTTTAGGTAGTAACAAGTTCACCAGTTTCCTTTCAATTATGAAACACGAGTTGTATCATATGATTCGTGCTATATAGTTAGTACAACTAGGTAGCTTTAATGGCTTCACATTTCCAACCTCAGATGTGAGCTCTAACAAGAAGTCTGCTGTAGTGGTTTGTGGTTGGCTCAATACCATGGTTGTATTTATTACTTCACGAGTATGGCTTCATCAGTTCTCTTTCTTGAACAACTTTTAGATGAATAGTTGATGGTCCATAATAAGTAATATCTCTCATTTATATTACAAGAAACTCCTTCATTGACAGTTCAAAACACTCCCTTTTCAAAGAGTACTAACAAATTGATTGTTTATCTTAGTTACAATAGTATTCTCACTTTAATATCCTTTTTCTTCTTTTGTTTTAAGGTAGATCACATCATTCCTTGTATTAAAATGTGTTACTGATATTTAAATGGTGTCATTGTCTTGTCCCTATTAGAGTGCACAGTTTTAGCTTTTGGTCACAGGAAGTAGTAACTGCAATTCACAGTAACTCAGTTCATGTAAATCCTTCAAATATTGAATGCTTTCGTACGGAGTATTTAATTTTCCTGTCTGCCAACCTTTGATCAGTAAAATCGCCACTAGAATCCACTATTGTTATAAATAAGAGGTGTATCTAAGCCCTTTGCTTATATTTCTTTACTTTTCTTCCCAGTTTTGGCAGTGAAGATGAAGTTCAGGAACTGCATATTGTTGTTAGCATTTATAGCTGCAGTGGTTTCAACTGCTTTAGCAGAACAAGATGTATATTTGGTTCATATGGATAAGACCAGGATCACATCATTCGACAGTTATGTTGGAACTTCCAAAATATGGTATGATAATATTATTGGTTCTATAACTGAACTCTCTACTGATGGTGAAGAGGAACAAGAAGAGAAACCTCCTCAACTTCTTTACGTATATGAAAAAGCCATTTCAGGTTTTTCAGCAAAACTATCCAAGAAACAACTTGAATTACTAAAACAAGTTGATGGATTCCTTACAGCAATGCCAGATGAAATGTTAAGCCTACACACCACTCATTCACCTCAGTTTCTTGGGCTGAAAAGTGGCAGTGGACTTTGGAGTGCTTCTAATTTGACTTCTGATGTGATCGTTGGCGTGATCGATACTGGAATTTGGCCTGAACATGTAAGTTTCCGCGATTCTGGCATGCCACCGGTGCCTTCTCGTTGGAAAGGCAAATGTGAGGCTGGAACGCGGTTTTCGCCATCAAATTGTAATAAGAAGATTATTGGTGCAAGGATTTTCTCTAAAGGGTATGAAGCTGCTGCAGGGAAAATCAATGAAACAGAAGATTATAGATCACCGCGTGACTCACAAGGCCATGGAACGCATACTGCTTCAACAGCAGCTGGAAATCTTGTCATGGGTGCAAATCTTTTTGGTTTGGGTAAAGGCTTAGCTGGTGGTATGAGCTATGGATCAAGAATTGCAGTTTACAAAGCATGTTACATACAAGGCTGCTCAAGTGCTGACATTTTAGCAGCTATTGATCAAGCTGTTATTGATGGGGTGGATGTATTGTCACTTTCTTTAGGAGGTTTCCCAAAGCCATTTTATGCCGATAATATAGCTATTGCTGCATTTGGTGCAGTCCAACATGGGGTCTTTGTTTCATGCTCAGCAGGAAACTCAGGGCCTTTGAATTCAAGTGTTGGCAATGCAGCACCTTGGATTATGACTGTTGCCGCGAGCTCTCTGGACCGTAGCTTTCCAACTATTGTCAAGCTTGGAGATGGACATGTTTTTAAAGGAGCTTCATTGTACCAAGGTAAGCCTACAAAACAATTGCAACTTGTTTATGGCAGAACAGCAGGGGGAGAAGGTGCTGAATTTTGCACCAATGGGACTCTATCTTCAAGATTAGTCAAAGGCAAGATTGTTGTCTGTGACAAAGGACTCAATGCCAGAGCTGAAAAGGGAGAGCAAGTGAAAATAGCTGGTGGAGCTGGAATGATTATGGTAAATAGAGATGAAGAAGGTGAAGAACTTTATGCCGATCCTCATGTGTTGCCCGGCACATCTTTAGGAGCTTCAGCTGGGATTGCTATCAAAAGTTACATTAACTCGACGAAAACTGCCACAGCTTCAATCAAATTTGAGGGTACAGTTTATGGCAACCGTGCACCAATAGTGGCTGCATTTTCCTCTAGAGGACCTAGTGCAGCTGGACCGGACATTATCAAGCCGGATGTTACCGCTCCAGGAGTGGACATACTAGCTGCTTGGCCTCCAAATATCAGCCCATCAATGCTAAAGAGCGATAAGAGAAGCGTGCAATTCAACATTCTTTCAGGCACTTCCATGTCTTGCCCTCATGTCAGTGGACTAGCTGCATTACTTAAGTCTGTCCATAGAGATTGGTCACCAGCAGCAATCAAGTCGGCTTTAATGACAACTGCTTATACCCTTGACAAAAAAAGAACTCCAATTGCAGATGCTGTTTCTGAGACTTCAATATCAGCTACCCCTTTTGCCATTGGCTCAGGACATGTTGATCCTGAAAAGGCTTCTAATCCAGGCCTTATATACGATATCTCAACCGAGGATTACCTGCAATATATCTGTAGCCTAAACTACAACTCTTCTCAAATAGCCCTTTTATTGAGAAAGAATTATACTTGTCCTACTCATGCCTCAAAATCACCTGGTGATCTAAACTACCCTTCTTTTGCTGTACTTTTCGACAGCAAGAGGCGAAATCTGATCCAAACATTTAAAAGAAGTGTGACAAATGTTGGGAACCCTATGAGTACTTATGTTGTACAAGTGAATGCACCTAGTGGAGTATCAGTTACAGTGAAGCCAAAAATTCTAAAATTTCAGAAGAAGGGTCAGAAGCTGAGATATAAAATGAGAGTTGTTGCAAGGGGAAAAAGGAGTGCTGGTGATTCAACATTTGGATCACTGGTTTGGTTTTCAAGAACACATATAGTTAGAAGTCCCATTGCTATCACATGGCAGTAACTTAAAGAGGGTAATTTGATGACAATATCCAATTCTTGAAATTATCTACGAGAATGTGTTTCTTTTGAATAAACTAACTAGTTCAATTAGATATATCTGCATATTACTTTTGAGTTCATTGTTTACCTCGAAAAATATGAGTAACAATTAAACTTGATTTGTGGTTTTAAAGATATGTAGTTTAATTCAATACCAATTAATAATCAAGAAACATGAAGTAGAAATAAAAGATAGAAATGAGTCAAACCAACGTTAGTTATCAGCAGTGACCTCGAGACGGTGACCTCGAGGTGGCTTAAGGCAGTAAGAACAATGAGGTAAGAAAATCAAAGTAAGAATAATCAAGCTAAGGGACAATTCTGATGAACAGTAGGCAAAAAGGTAGAGAGTATATTCTTTTCTCAGAAAAAGATGGTCTCACAAATGATTGAGGTCCCCCTTATATAATGGGGGAACCCTAAATAAGGAATATTTCTATTTATAGCAGGGAATATTCTTGCTACAGCTGTCTAATCGTCTAGTACGAAATTGTACGATCCTACTCCGTAATTTGCGCCATGATTTTGGGGACGTGGCAGGAATCTAGTTCGCTCTGGTACAAATCCATAGCGATACTATTTCGGGGTAGAACACACCCGACCTCGGTATCCATCGTGCGTCGCCTTCGAACTCCGGTCTGGTCCCTCGAGCTCGAACCTGGCCTTACCCGGACTCGGACTTTGGATGGCCTCCCAAGTGTATTGATTGAAGGCATTCGATCTTGACCGTACACAGATAGTCCCCGCGTTTCTTAGAATAAGATGATAAGAAACGATTTGCATCTCGACCTCCCCGAGCTTCTCATGATGATGTCACGCCCGTGACGTAGGCGCTTGAAATGACCGGAGATGTCACGTCGGGGCTCTTCCCTAAAACATCAAATGTGTGCCAATGTTGGTTGGCCATTAGCCCCGCCGATCCGTCACCGCCTTCCTATAAATAGGAGGTTATTCTGTTACTAAGAACTATACTTTACTCATCTTTATCTACTTTTGATCTTTTTCCTTCTTTGCTTCTTCTTTAATCGTCTATTTTCATGGTTCGAACCTGTGAACACAAGGTCACATGACAGCAATTTTACCAGTTATGCCAAGGTTCTCTTTCTCAAAGCTTCGATTTGAAACAACGTGAGAAGGACGCCGAATCCTTCTCGCATTAGAAAATACGCGAACTTTTCGCTGCTGCTCATCTCTCTTAACTTCAACCTGGTGTAGCACTTCATTCCTTTTGCTCTCCATGGAATGGGGTGGCACTATCGTCTACTAACTTTTGCATCCTATACCGGCGCAACGTCCCAAGGATGAACATTCTTGGATCGTTGCTCGTACATCTTGCAACCCTTTTGATTTTTCTTGTGATAGAAGGTGAATCTACATCTTCCGGTGCTACTCCCTTTTTAGCGGATTATATCCCAAAGTTTCAACGGAATGCTCAATCCTTGTTGCTGGTAATATAGTTATATTCATCGAGGTTTTTCTTCCCTAAATCTCTTCGGGCGTACAAACATTTTTCAAAGATCAGAAGTGGAGTCCCCGGGGAGGAGGTTCCCGAAGATGGTGCTCTCGAGGACGCGGCCTTAAGAGTAGATTAGGTTGTTGGCCTTTGTTTCTTGTTTCTTTATTCCTGTGTGAATACCCTTCATGGATATTATAGTTATATTTTGTAACCATCTCTTGGAAATATAAAAGGATACTTTGTTTTACTTTTGGCTCGTGTTGAATTTTTCATTCCATCTTTATCTACGAAAAAATTCAATGGCATAACTTTGGTGACTGGCTCGATCAATGGACTCAGAACATAATATACCCTTAGGTTTTAATTGATCAATATAATACCCCTTTGGGTTTTTGTTAACCCTCGAGCCAGGCTTAAGTTGATTTGATGCGAGCTCGAGACACCGATGCTTGAGTTCGAGCTGAGTGAGAGCAAGGTTTCGAATTTGAATTAAAGTTAGCCCTTAGGCTTTGTAGACAGTCCCCGAGTGAGAATTTTCTCAAAATCTGGTAGCCCGTCTGCTCAGTAGTCGAGCTAGCACTTGCTCGAACTCGAAATAGGTTGATAAAAATGGATTAATCTTCTACGCCTCGATCCTGACGCCAATCTCGTGACATCAGCGACTGAAGTGACTGAAAAGTTACTTTTTGTGCGGTTCCCAAAGTCATTAATTGGAGGCGGCTGACGGTCGGCCTTTTGGCTTCCAAAGTACGGTTATAAGACCCCTATAAACAGATAACATCACACCTTTGCAAACTTTATTCTCATATTGTTCTCAAAGTCTCGTTAGCTCTTTCAATTTCCCTGAATTCTTCCTTTTCTTCTATTTTTCTATCAACATTCTCCTTTTTCTTCAATTTCCGTATTGTGATGGCTAAAACCTCTAATCCGGTTCCCCAAAAAGAAAGAGCTTCTTCATCTTCTCGACCGACCAAGGGCAAACCGGTGGTGCCTCCTCGTATTGAGGAGTGCATCCCCCCGCCGTGTGAAATAACATCCGATTTCAAAATCGAAAAACCTGTGTCGACACCAGGCCGATGTGAGCCCATGTCTCGGTACGTTTGTTTGATAACCAAGGATGAGCTTGCGCAAGTAAGGGAAGACTGAAAGTGGGAGAAAAAGGAAGTAGTGATTCCTTCCTCCGAGGAGGACATCACTACATAGGTACTTAAGCGTATATACCTACCCATTCACACTAGGTCCTGCAATTCTGGCTCAGGGTCCCATAGATCCAGTTATCCTTGACTTTTTCCAACGATACCGAGTGACGCTTGGTCAGATCTACCCCTCATTCTGGCAAATCATTTACCCGATCAGGTTCTTTTTGAGCCATGTCGAGGGAATGTCTTTTACCCTTGACCATCTGATCAGACTGAGTCCTCGACTTTATCGTGGTGGCCTGATAAAATTGCAACGCCGATCCTCGAAATCTCTCTTCCGTAGCATCGACGAGGACAAAGACCGAGGGTGGATGAGCCGGTTTGTCCGAGTCAGGACCTCCGACCTGATTCCTGCTGATTGGATGTCGTTCCCCGAGGAGTGGAACATGAAGCGTAAGTACATAGCAGGTTTATACCCTGTTTTCTTTTCTTTTCTCAGTTTTATCCTTCTCTTTGATCTAACCCCTTTCCGATGGCGGAGCCACTAGTTAGTTTCCTGGTGGGGTCCCGGACCTTGCAGGCTGCGTCCGAAAGCTGACTTCCGCTTCCTCTTATTCGCAGCGTTGCTGGCGAGATTTGGCCAAGGGTCGATGGGAGGCCAAAAACCATGGTGAGTTCCCTTGCTTGCTTTCTTGTACTTCCTTTATGGTATATATACTTCGGTTTTGTATAGGTCTTGGAGATGCCGTTGCTATGCGGCCGGCTCCGGATGATGAAGAAGAAGTTCTGAAGTCTTCTAAAGAAAGAAAGAGAAAAAGAGAGTCGCCCACAAATCCCCCGAAGCCTAAGAAGAGCGTGGCTCGAAGATCCAGGGTCGATACGGCGGCCTTATATCCAGAAACGGCCCAACACCTTCGGGATCAGGAGGAAGAAGAAGATGACGACTGCCTGTTGGTAGCCCGTGAAAGAAAAAATGTCGGTGCTTCGAAGTCCGTCGAGCCGGTGAAGATCGATGTGGCTCATTCCAGAGTCGAAGAAATCTCCGAGGGGAGTTCAAATAAAGTCCTCGAGCTGTCGTGCAGAAAAAGTTACCTTGCCTAGGAGGCCATTTGGAGGGTGAGGCCGAACGGCCCAGTCCCGAGCCTCTTCAAAATAAAGATAACGCCCCGAGTGTATCATTTGGGGTAATCAATGTAGATGATTCACCTCCTGGCCTAGAGTTCTCCTAGGGGCAAATTTGAGACGCTCAGAATATGAGGTCTTCTGAAGTGGAAGCAAGCCATGAAGGACATGACATCTTTCGAGAATGCCTTGCAGGTCTTGAAGATGGCCCCGACCCAGATGCTTCTTTCATTTTTGATGAGGCTCGCAGACTCTTCAAACAAGTGAGTTTTCTGTTTGTTATGCCTGCCCTATGTTTTTGTTGTTCTAAATCAATCTTTCCTCCTTTTTTATTAAGGCTGTGGTGCTTCACAAAAAGGCATTTTCCAAGTATTGAACTGATCTTGCTCGATGTGAGGCTGAGCTTAAAAAGATTTCGAAAGAAAGGGGCGATCTTAAAACCCTCTATGTTAAGAAAGAGGTGGAGATCAACGATCTTCGAGTTGAATTGATCCAGGCTTACCAAGGACGGGCCGAGTATGTTGAGAAGGTAATATAGCCTTCGAGGGCCTGTTATGAACTTGCTTGTTTTGATGTCTAATACCTTTAATTTTGCAGTTTTATCAGGAGGCCGACTTGGTGGCGCAGCTTCAGGAGGAGCTTAAGATGAAAGAGGCCGAGACCTTGGGGTGGAGTCAAAGCATAGACAATCTCACCTCTGATAAAGAAACTCTTCGAGAAGTGTTGGCTTCCCTCGAACGTCAGTTTCAAAGTGTGAAGGAGGAGAGCCTAGCTCGAGGCCGCGACATCGAGGAGCTTAGAGCTAAATCCGCTACTGAGTTGGCTAAGGCCAGATCTGATGTTGAGGCAATTATATCTTCGTACCGAGCCGATGCTAAAGCGGCTAATGCTCGGGCAAAGGAGATCTCTTCTACAGCAGAAGTTAAGTTATCGAGTGCACTTGATCATGCTAGGCATCAATCTCGGAGGGCTACCCTCGAGGAGGTACACGCTCGCAGCTTCGGTCTCTCCGCCGATATTGAAAGGGCAAAGATTTTGGAAGAAGAGGCTGCCGCTTTACTTTCCGATGAGGGTGATTCAGCCAGTGGCTCCGAGAGTGGAGGAGACGAGGGTGAAGTCTCCAAGGATGAGGCTTTCGAAGATGCGGCTCCCGAGGATGCGACAGCCGAAAATGTGACTCCGAAGTAGTTTTAGGTTTCCTTATTTTGTTTTTGTGCAAGTATCCCTTGTGAAAACATCCCCTGTAATCATCTTTTGGAAATATAATAGGAATTCTTTATCTCATTTCCGACTTGTGCTGGATTTCATATTGTTTTGATTTATGGGATCCCTCTTTCA